AATGCCCAGTGTTTTGGCGGAGCGGTGACAGTTCTTTTTTAATCAGCAGTTCGGTACTGATCGTGTGACACTGTGTCCCTCCTGCTCCAGCAGCACCACGATCAGCGCACACAGTGGGGGAGAGGGACACGGGACATGACCAGCCCTGCCATGTGTCCCTCGGCCCTGCCATGCCCCAGTGAGCTGGAAGGGGTTCCTCTGTGTGTCCATGGTCAGGGAGTGCCCAGGGGACAAACACAGGACTGAGACCATGGATTGCCTTGCGCCATTCTTTCCGAGCCTTGTGAGGCTGAGACTTGGCTCTGGGCAGGCAGACAGCTTCTGGGAGGACACCTGCAAAGGTCCTCTACACCAGGGTAGGTTCACTGTGGCACAGAAAGGTTGCTGGCACACACCAGTGGGCTCCCCTGACCACTTCGGGACCTTCCTGCGGGGACAGCACAAGGCAAAGCAGCTCTACATGCTCTGCTGGCAGAAGTTGCTCCCAGGAGCTCCCCATCTCACAGAGGGGTGGAGGCAAGAAGGAAACCTGTGTGCACACTCTCCTGCCAGCACGCTCCAAAGCCGGGCTCTGGCTCTGTCCCTGGCAGTCACCCTCTCACACTGTGGGGCTGTGGGGAGAGTGTGGAGTGAGTGAAGGGAAAACAACTCTGGCACTTCTCCGCAGCAATGCCTCAGCCTCTGCAGGACGGGCTCAGCACTCAGCCCTCACCCAGCGCCAGGGACCTGTGCCCAGCAGCCCCCGGGGAGCAGCGCAGGGAGGTGCTGGCAGAATGCTTGAGGATACGTGTTTGCTCTCAGCAACAGAAGAGCACCTTGGCATTCTGGAAGGATAAAAGGAGCAGAACCATGGTGTGTCAGCTCAGCCTTGTGTGTTATGGCAGCATGGAGCTGCCAGCTGTATCACCAGTCCCTGCCACAAGGCTGAGGGCCATCCCTTATCCCCCAGCCCCGCTGAGCCTGTCATCCCCACAACGCGGGGAAAAGAAGGCTGCTCCCCTACTGTCCGCTACCAGGGAGGCCTTATCAAGGATTTCTGTCCTTTTTTTTTTTTTAATAATGAGGCAAAGATAAAAATTCTGTATTTTCATTACTACCCATTTTCACAGCCCGCTGAACAAAAACACAAAGCGCTTCTCCTGCTGCCCCTTGCTCCCCAGCCCTGCCTCTTTCTCCCATGGAGTTCAATTAAAGAAAGGCGAAAATTGAAGCTGTTTTACGCAAGGCGATTGCAACATGCATATTTGATTTTTATGATGGATCTAAATTGCTGAATAAGGCCGTGGAACAAAGGGAGACTGCGGCTTCCTGCCCATCACAGCCAGGCAGCCACTGCAGAACAAAAGCACCAGCCATTAGGAGCTCAGCGGGGAGATACATTATATAAATGACTTTGTTTCTCTGCCCCTTCCCCCCATGGGGGCTCGGACGGGGCTGGGGGCTGCTGATTCCACATCCCGGTGAGAGCGGGCTGCGGCCTTGGGGCCTTGGATGCGGTGATCTGAGCACATGCGGCCAGCCACACCGGGGCTGGGACACAGCCTGACCCCGCTGTGCTGCTGCGCCAGCCCGTGCTGCCCCCGGTGCGGCAGTAGTGCCCCTCGGCCATTCGGGGACCCCCTTTAGCAGCGCCCTTGCAGCCGGGCTCAGGCGCACGTGGCAAGGGGCACTCGGGCTGGGCAGCAGCCCCGTGTGAGAGCACCTGGGAAAGGCCAGTCCGGAGTGCCCGATGGCCCCGCTGATGTCCTGGCAGCGCGGAGCAGGACACCCAGGGCAGGGCGTGGGCGCCAGGGGTCTGCACCCATGGGGGAGCTGTGACTCTGCTTTCTGCTCACAAGGCTCACTCTTTGTCTGTAGGGAAAGGTGTTTGCTAGGGATGCTTCAGGCAGAAGATCTGCAACTCCTCAGTCTAAAGCGGGTGTTTGACAAGGGCAGAATCTGGTTAGGATCAGACTGTGCTGGCAGAGGGTTTCCCCTGGCTCCTTGAAGCGGCTGCAGGGGAGAGCCGGGCAGTTTCTGCACAGGTGGACACTGTGGCCTGGCATGCTCCAGTGGGCCGGGGACAGCCCTCCCCACGTGCCTGAGTGATGAGTATTGCCACGATGTGTCCTGGCACAGCCCCATTGCAGCACCACGGGAGCACAGCGCTCTCGTGGCCGCTCCTCCTGCCTGTCCCACCCCAGTGCCCCTGGGTCCCCTGGAAGGATCCCAGCCTGCGTGTCACGGCCAGCGGTCAGGAACACGCACTCCAGCCAGGGTGGACGCCAGGGACACAGCAGATGGCTCCATGAGTCCTGTGAGCACCGTGAAGCGTGGCCCGTCATGCTGCTGGCCGTGAGGGCTCCGGGACAGCACTGTCCCCCTGCAGGGGACAGGCTTGGGATGGGCTGGTGCTGGCCCTCATTCAGCTGCACGAGCTGGGCGAGTACTGCGGCTGCTAGAGCTCAACCTCTCCTGCTGCAGATGTGACAAACGGCTGGAGAAGAACAATCAGCCAGGCTGAACACGCGCTTTCCTTCCCTAATGCATCCCCCAGTTCCTCTGCCCAGCATCTCCCCCTCTGCGCTGCACCGTGGAATTGCATCCTTCAGAAATAGCATCCTAATGGATCTCCCCCCACCTTCCCTGTGCTTTGGAGAGCAGGAAAGAATGTGACATACACCACCATGCCCGTGGCCATGGCTGTGCCAGGCAGCCTGTGCTCTGGGGGGCCGTAGGCATTGAGAGACCACAACAGCCCCGTATCGGACCACCACAGCCCGGTTCCCACCCACCACAGCCCCAAGAGCCCACCCACCACAGCCCCAAGAGCCCACCACAGCCGCATGTCCAGCCACCACAGTACCCCACACCACCAGCTGCTACCAGTGAAGAAACTGGAGCGGACTATGCCAAGATTTTGCTCGAGAGCCTTGGCAAGATCCGCAGCAAGGGAACAGGGCACCTGGGGAAGATGTCCCAGGTGGAATCCTGGCCTAGCTTGGGAGGAGGTGGGAACCAGACAGGTGCAGCTGCAGGAAAAGACTGGGAAAAGGTGGGAGCAGCCCAAGAGCTGACAAGGATGTGTTCAGCTCTTTAAAGTTTGATTTCCATGACCTTTTTGCTGCTGGTTACAGCTCCCCTAGTGCCACTCCCAGCACTGACTGGGGCAGGTTGTTTTCCCTGCTAGGGAGCTAAACTGAGATGCTGTGAGTAAGAAATGGGAAGTGACAAGATATGACCGAAGCATTGGAAATCAATCCAAACTAAATGTGCTTCTTAACTATAAGTGAACAGTTGAAAACAATCCTCTATTATAGCCATGGAGATAAATACTCTGTTTTTATTAGGAAAAAATTGCTTTGGACTGAATAAAGTCGTTTGATTAACAAGTCAAAGCAGATGGCTTATTGATGTTTGAAAAAGGAGTTTACAAGGTCTAGCGAAAAAAGAGCCCCAGCTCTGAATTAACAAATTACCCGGGTATGTGGGACATTGACAGTTCACTGCTAATAGATTTATGGGCTGCTGCTGGGTGTTTTGTCCCCATTTGGTTTATTATGATAAAATATTCGGGCAGGGGTAACCTATAGCCTCCCTGCAATATACTGTATCGACCCCTGACCCTGGGAGCCTGACAGCAAAGCTATATATTAGATTCTTAATTTGTCTTAATCTAACAGGATCGGTCTCTGTGCAGTAATTATTTTCCAAAGGCAATGGTGTGGGTGTGCGTGAGCACTGCAGGTGAAGGTGGATCACTCTGTAAACTGCACTGGACATGACATAGAGTTCAACTGCTGAGGACTGGAGAGATCACAGCAGGAATGAGGTAGGAGCATTGGTATCCCATGACACAGGACATGAGCTTGAGAAATACCAAAATTCCCAGGTGCTGCAAAATTACCCCCATAAACCAATTAACAGGGAGGCCCTGGCAGCACCTGGAAATACGCAATGATCATGGCTGGCAATTTGGGGACTTGAAGAAATGGGGCCACAGAGCTGAGCGTTTTTATATAAACTTACGGAACTTACATCAACAGCCCAAAGCCCTACCCATGGACACAGCTTCCCAGCAGACTGCCATGTCCCACAGGTGGGCAGAGGGACTGTGGCTAATGCAGGCAGCTCTGTATCCACAACAGCTGAGATTTTGTGTCTGCTATTTCAGGACTCAAATGCAGTAATTGCCTGCTCCTGTGTCAGAGCAGCAGTATTAGCCAACAGCTAGGGCACAGGCACTGTCTCCTGTCCCGCTCGGGGCTAACCCCTGGCCGTGGTTACAGGCCAGTCCCAGCACTCAATGGAGCCGGGCAGGCTGAGGAGCTGGCACTGCTCATTCCTCTGCCAGGGAACGGCCTGGCTTATCTCAGGCAACCCCTAAGAGCAGATGCAGGTTTCCAGCACCCTCAGCCCCAGGTGACACCCCGCTAATGGCATGCCACGTCCCCTGCAGCGCTGCCACAGTGCCACGGCCCAGCAGCAGCGCCGTGCTCAGCCCTGCCACGCGAAGCAGCAGCAACAAGGGGCAGGGAGCGGCCTCTAAACTCGCCTCCACTGCTGAAGCCATCCATTCTGAGGAGCTTGTGTGAAACCTTTACTTCCTCCTCCTTCTTCTTAAACATCACCTCCTAAGGGCACGGGAGCCAGCAATTCCTAAATGTCAGAAGTCAGGCGTACAAGGCATTTGGCTGGCTTGGCTGAACAGGGATCCTCTCTTGGAAAGAAGATGAAAATGAAGGTGTGTGCCCAATGGAAGCAAGGTCATATGAGATGGGAAGAAGACAGACTTGCTGCCCACTACTAAGAGAAAAAATTTGCAGCCAAGACTCAGCTGGAGTTGAAGATGCCACAAATGTGGGGCACAATAAAAGGATTTTTTTTGGCTGTATTAATGGCAAAAAAGCAATGTAGAAATAACAATCACCTATTCCAGGATAAGGATGATCACCCGACAAACAGGGACATGGACAAGGAAGAAATGTGTAATGCATTCTTTGCCTCTGTCTTCAATATGGATGACAGACCAAGGAGGTCCCAGTGCCCTGAAGCTTGAGGACCATGACTGGGAGATTGATAACTCCCACTTGACCGTGAAATTGTGAGGGATTTGCTCCTCTGGCTGGATCACTATAAATCCATGGGTCCTGATGAGACTCATCCGAGAATCCTCAAAGAGCTACTGATGTCATCACAAAACCTCTCTCTATTATTTTTGAACCATGTTGCGAATCTGGAGAGGACCCAGCTGACTGAAAGCTGGAGAACATTGTCCTGATTTTCAAGAAGAGCAAAAAGAAAGACCCTGGAATCTACAGGCCTGTCAGTCTCACTTCAGTGCCTGGTAAAATCATGGAAAGTATTTTTCTTGGCGATACTGAAGAACACTTAGAGAACAGTGCAGATACTGATTACAGGCAGCATGGCCTTAGGAGGGTTGATCCAGGGAAGCCAGTAGATGTAATATTTTTGAAGTTCTGCAAAGCTTTTTATACTGTCTTTCCCAGGATTCTTCTGGACCAGCTCTCCAACCCACAGCTGGATAACCTTTTAATATGATGGGTGAGCAAGTGGCCTCAGGCTGGATGAAAAGGGTGACAGTGAATGGGGTGACATCAGGCTGGCATTAGTGGGGTTCTGCAGGGTTCCATCCTCCACACTCTGCTCTTCAGCATCTGCATCAACGGCCTGGATGCAGGACAAGGTACACTAAGAAAGTTTGCTGATGACACTAAACTGGGAGGTGCTGTTGACTCCCTTGAGGTCTGAGTGACCCTGCATAGAGACTTCAACAAATCAGAAAGATGGGAGATCACCAACCATGCAGAGTTTAACAAAGGTGAGTGCCAAATTCTTCACCTGGGACTGGGCAACACTTGTGTGGATAGAGGGGAAATGAGAGGCTGGAGAGCAGAGGCAGAAAAGAACCTGGGGATCCTCACTGATGGCAAGCTGGATGAGAGTCAGCAGCCCTGGTGTCACTGATGGCTGCGAGCACGTGGATTTGTGTTCTGGCTCATACTGCTGGCAGCTCACTGTGCCACCGCAGGGCTCTTCCAGAGCAGTCCCTGCTGACAACTTGTTGGATGACTCTCTCCAGGAAAGACAGTTCCAATGCGTTGTTCTGGCATCCTGCCACCTCTCCTTGGTTGGGGTATATTTTATTAGCGGGTCTAGGAGGATGGGATGGGAATGCTTCCCTCAATTCACTAACTGGAGCAAATCACTTCCTAGGAAGCACTTTCAGTTTCATGCCCTGGCTCAATTCCAAACTAGGATGGGTCTTTTAGAATATTAGTCACAATAAACTAAACTCAGAGCTGGCCTCTAAAAGAGCCCTCACAGCCCTGCTAGGACACACGGGATTGACACCAGCACAGTGGAACAGGGCATGCCCGTGTGCGTCCCTGCAGATGAGAGGAATTCATGTGCCCTTGAAAGAAAAGGATCTTTCCCAATGGAGGCATCAGCTACACCTACCAGCAGCATATGTCAGTAAAAAGTCCCAGTTTCATATACTCATGAGTGGCAAATCAAAGCCAAATTACATAAAAGCTCAAACTGAGGGGATTACTGCTGCTCCTAATTTCAAATTTTTGACCTGTGTGCATTTCAGCTGAAGGAATACTAAGAGGAAAAAAATTTAAATATATTTTAAAATATGAATTTTTTTAATATAGGAAATTTTAAAAATAGGGAATATTTTAAAATAGGAAAATTTCTGGTTTGAATATTATTACAAAGTTATGAGTGATGGGGAAAGAGTTGTGAAAATTCTGAGAAAATATGGTTGTAATATGTCTAGCAGTGATGTTCACCAGGGTCTGACCACCACAAAACTCTTGCTTTCTTTATTGTCTCCCTGGATTTCACAAATTTAGATGGCATCCTGTTTTGGAAAAAGAATCTAGAACTTGACTTCCATTCCCATCACCATCCCACAGTTACATGCCATCTGGTATTTGATCAATATACATGGCTGCAGGAGTATTCTACATTTGAGCTCTGTTACATTTATCATGTGATGGTCCATTGCACCTGGGGCCTGGCCTTATGCTGAGCTAGACAAAAACAAATTAGAAGTTTCTTCTGTAGTATGCACTGCCTTGTTATTTCTGTAGCATCTCATCTGCCTGAGGCGAGCGGGATTTGTGGAGGATTACAGTGCATGCGCGCATAGCTTAGAAAGCTGCTTTGATTACAAAGCCCAAAAAAAGGATATTAAATTTTTATTACAAAAATATTTGGTTTACTTCATTCCTTTTCTAAAAGCAGCCAAGATTCCAAGCATTCTCTTGCTCTGTGACCACTCTCCAGTTCCAAGCATGGGGAGAAGTGAATTTCTGGAGCTGTTTTCCTCAGAGATCACAGATGGAGCCGTGCCTCGCGCTGTCCCCAGGTCAGCCGTGAGCAGGGCCTGGCCAGGCGGAGCTCCAGCCCCTGCCAGCAAGGAGCGAGGCTCGGGAGGAGCCCGAGCTCCCTTGTTATTTACATCTCCAGGGTTTCTGTGAGCTCCAGTCCCTTCCTGCTTTCCCCCAAGCATTGCAGCAGCCAGGCACTACCTTGCTCCTACGATTTAGCATTTGTCTGTGCATTTTTCATTTTTTGCCAATATCAATTTAGTTTCTAAATGGTCTCAAGAGCAAATGTCTGCGTCATGTGAAGCTTGGCTTATACACCACCTGTGCTAACGGCACTTTTTTACCCACACGTCCATTTCCTAACCTGGCTGCTTCCTTTACAGGGGACAGCAAACCAGCTCCAGCATCTCCTGCGTTTGGAGACTTCCCTTATCTCGAATCAGATCTGTACGTGGCTCAGAGGCAGCAGCAACTCCTTCGTCGGCTTATAACACACTAAATCAGGGTCTAGTCCCGGAGGCCGGGCGGGGCCTGAGGGGACCGCGGGGTCTGAGGGGTCTGACGGGACCGCGTCGGGGGCGCCCGTCCCCATGGCAACGCCCCGCCCCAGCGCCGCCGAGGACCCCGCCCCTTCCCCGCTGTCCAATCGCCGCCGCGTAAGGGGCGGGGACCCAAGCTTCTATTGGACAGTTCTTACGTTAATCAACTCCTGCGGGACCCGCGGGCTCGTGAGGCCTTCCGCCTGCGCCCTTGCCGAGCGTTGATTGGTCTCTGCGAGAGCGGGGCTTACCCTCACCCGCCTGGCGGTTGGGCGAGAGCCCCGTCAGTCAGGGGCGGGGCTCGGGGGGGGCTGGCGGGCCGTTCGAACGGCGCTGCCGCTGCTGGCGCGGCTCGGGGCGGGCTCCGGGCGCCGCGGGTCCGGGAGCCCGGCCCGGCTCGGCCCGGCTCGGCTCAGCCCAGCGCAGCTCGGCCCGGCCCGGCCCGGCCCTGCCCGGCCCGGCGGAGGAGCTCCCGCCCGGCCTCCCTCCTCTCAGAGCGGCCGGGGGCCAAGCAAGGCTCCCTTGGCGGCCGCCGTGTCCCGGCCGGGATGGGCCGCGCGGCTCCCGCCGGCTCCGCCGTGGCCGTCCCGGGAGAGACAACGGCCGAGGCTTTGCGCTGCGGGGTCCTGGAGAAACGCGGCAGCCGCCACACTGCGGGGCAGGTTAGTGCTCGGGAGGGTCCTGTCCGGCCCGGCAGCGGCCTGAGCTCCGGAGAGACGGGCTGGGCTGGCGGGCAGCGCCCTGCGAGCCGCGCCGGGCTCGCCCACGGCGCTCGCTCCTAACGCCTGGCTGCACAACTTCCTCCAGGCAGGTTCCAAAGGCTGCTGCGAAGTCATTAGGAAACATCATCTGCTCTGATTCCTTGCTGAAAAGTGGGATCAAATGCATCTCTGTAGTTTCTGACAAACTACGCCAAACGTGTCATTAAAATCCTTCAGGGGTGGAGGTTTAAAGTGAAACATTGAGCTGCTGGTGCTGAAGTGCTCAGTGAGTCGGGTTCCTGCTTGTGTTGGTCCTGTTAGACCTCCGTAATTTAAGACCTTAGTTTATTTCCAAATTACTGATGAGATAAAGAAATACAGAGTTGCTTTTATTGAATCAAGCTGTTTGAGGGGGAAAAAGAGAGGAACAGCTCTTCTATGCTGCCACAATGTTTATTGCACAGAATGTACTGTAGGTCAACAAAAAATTGGTTGCTATTGTAAAATGCAGGGGGTTTAATTGTTATACTTTGGATAACCTAGAAAATCACCTGTTTGTTTAAAAAATCCCAACCATGTGCTTGAATGTTTATTTCCTCTCTTGACTACAACAACTGTCATGGTTATATGCTGGCACAATGCCAGCACCCCATGAAAATACAACCTATCAATTGAATGCTGTGAAATGTGATCGGGAACGGAGCAAAGCAGGCCAAACTTAATAACAAAGGAAAAACTTTATTACACTACTACTACTACTACTATAAAAGGAAAAGAAATGAAAGAAAAAAAACCACACAAAATTCAAAATTAAAACCTTCCAAAACATTCCTCCTCCCACCACCCAACTCCACCAAACCACAGCAAGACCCATTTGGATCCTTATTCAAGTTTTCACCCTTCAAGATAATCAATACTGAGTCCATCGGGGATGAGAGGAGTCCCCCTTGCACCACAGACCCCCAGGAAACACAGCTGCCACCTCTTGTGTTGCCATGTCACACGTGGCACTGCCCAGACCCACCGGCCAGTGTGACATTCTCCTCTCCATGTCACAGTGCTCTCACCACCGTGCATGGACAGAGACTGCTTATAGGGCCCCTTTAAGGATGCTTTGCCAAGGACCACCAGGAACAACAGTCCAGTATCGCATTTCGGGACTAGAGTCCCCCCATTTTCCCCTGGGGCCGAGGGTCCAAGGACAGAGATCGCCTTCTCTTCTTCCCTGAAGATGGAGGGCATCCTCACACCCTCCTCAGCTCTCTCTGTCCATTCCAGAACTGGTAGTTGCTGAAGAAGGTCTCTTGGCTCACCAGTGCATCCCCCTAAAATGCAGTCTCTCTTGAAAGTAGGAGTGGTTCAGTCTATGGTAAACAAGCAGAGTCCAGCCAAAAGGCACTCCATCATCTCCCCCCAACCTTCTTCTCTGAACATCTGAGGTCCCAGGCTGTCTCTCTTTCCTTCAAATTCAGGAGGAGTAATATTTCACAAAGCCTTCATTTCACAGGAAAGGGTTAAAATTCCTGGACTCCCCAGACAGCTGAAATCTCAGCCCAGGACTCTGTCTCCCATCTCCCATGCTGGGCATCTTCCCTCCCTTTCCGAGTTCTCCTGGGAATTCCGCTTTTAACCCCTCTGTGTTCTCAGAGGCGTGTCCACCTTCAATTCGTCACCCCAAGTGTCACTATCCAAACCTGACCCCTGACTGTGACCTCTTCCTTCCAAAAAAAAATTCTCTTCCCTTGTCAAACCATGACAACCATGAAGGAGCAACTCTGAACTCTCCTGGTATGTGAGAAATCATTCCCTGATAACTATGAACTTCTGACTCTGACCAGGTTTTGGTCTGGGTTATTAGTTGGATCATGTGGCACAGTCCTGCTTTTTGGAGGGTGACCTCTTTGTGTCTGACCATATGTTTAATAATGAATGCTGGGAAGTTGTAAGTATCGTTGGGTTTGTGGTGTTCTGACTGAGACAATGACATATTTTGGAGCATAAATATATTGTAACAGGAGTTTGAGTTGAATTTGCATATGCTCATAATAATTGTCATAAAGAAAAAAATTAACTTTGATTTTTAAATTTTAGATGGCACAGAGAAAACTTACAGCAACATCTTGTCACTGGAAGTCAGAGGCACAGAGCTGCTTCTGAGCATGTAAGAGACAAGCAGCATCTCAAACTTTTCTTATCTGAAGTTAATTTCACTCCAGATTTTGATTTTGGAACCTCAGGGGTTTTTTGTCTCCTTTTTGTAGTCAGTTTTCCTGTCTTTGACTTATACTTTTACCTTGTGTTTTACTGGGATTTGTTTTTTTCATTTGTTTATACTGACGGATTTACACTTCCAGAAACAGCTGAGATCTTGCTATTATTCAGAAGTATTTTGAAGAGTGAAATACATCTTTTTTGCTGGTGCCACTGCTCAGTTAACAGTGATGATTATAAATATCCCATAAATATAATCTTGCCCTTGACAGGAAAAGCCTTGAATGTGGGTTGATGGAAATCATTCCCTTTCCTGTTGATCTTTGTAACTAAAATCAGGCCCTAAAGTGCTGAATTCATACAGAAAGCACATGCCGGTCTTCCATTCAAGCAGAGCAAATGCAATCACCAGTGCTCTTGCCCTTTGAAGGGTTGGAGCACTTAAAAAGAGCTAGATGATTTGTAGATGGACTCTGCCCCAGACTTCAGTGTTAGGAAAGGGCAGGTGGCACTTCATCCTATTTCTGAAAATCAAACCCATTTTGTTCAATTCAACCCCCTCCAATTCCTCAGTCAGCGCTGTCTTAGGGTAAGTGTGATCACTGGTGGAGAAACAAAAAAGCCAGAATAGATCCTGGTGATAAAATCCCCCTTTGGAGAGACAGAATATTTGTTGTGCTTATGAGAGGCATTTTTTGGGGAAAATATGTGGGAAAAAAAGCTCTGGCGAAAGTGATAAGAAGTTTTACTTAATTTTTTGAGGTCACTTCACTTGTGGGTATTTGGGTGCAGCAGAGAATGGAAGAAACTCTGCCTTATGAGAGGCATAAAACCCAGTGGCTATCTTTTGGCCAGTGTTGCTGATTTTCCAGTAAGCTCTGTGCTGCACAGAGGTGTAGAACCCTAATGGTTTGTTGTATGCCATTAAAAGGTATTGTACACTCATAAAAGAATGACATTTTGATCAATGCTGTTAAAAGAATTACTGTCTTGACACAGAAAAGCTTTCCTGCTGCAAGTTTAAAAATATGCCTTTAAAAGCTTTTTATTGAATACCTTTGCATCCCTCAGAAATGTGCTATTTTGGCACAGGGCTGCTCTGAAGTAACTCCGCATTGTAACCTGAATGCAAGACCTTGTGTTTACCATCAGCAGGGTGAGAGGTGAGGCAGATGTGTTCACTTACCTACTGTCACGAGGACAAAGGAAAAGCACCTAGAGCTGCTTGTATGCAGGCTAAAAATACAACCCCTTATTTTTAGAGTCCCAAATCACTTGAAAGCTATTTGTTTGTTTTGACATTGATTCCTCTCTGTCCCTCCAGCTTTCTTTTGCATGTCCCTTTGGAATTTGAAGCTATGCATTGATGTTGGAAGGAGGCAGGTGGCAGGTAGGGAAACCAGAAATCTCTCCACTGCATCTGGGTCCTGCCTTATGGGCAGGTGGGCTCTGCTGGGAGAAACTGGGCTTGGAGGTGTCTAAGGTAGTCCTGTGGTGTAACACTTGTTGTGGCAGAAATCTCCCTTTAGTGTGGTTAAAAGATCTTGTGTCAGAGCTCTTGATGAATCACAGCTGCTGGAAAAGTGTTGTACCTGACTGGATCATGGCCAGACTCACAGCTGCACTGTTCAACACGGATGACAGGTGCTGTCAGGTGGGAGTTTGAGAGTCCCAGGCAGGGAACTGGGAGGTAGGGCTGTAATTCCTCAGCTCTGGCACACTCTTGGGTGTCCTTGTACACTTTATATGTATGTTTCTTGAGCTTTTGTGTTTCAGGCTTTCAGTTGTTCAGCTGCATGTGATGTTCCAAATACAACTTTATATAAAAGTGGAGGGATAAACTGAAAGAGCCAAGAGTGGTGACATGAGTTTTCATGTAAAGAGATCCAGGATAAATTGTTCTCTAGGCTTTTTCTTCCTCTCCTTTCTATATATTGATGACCAAACCAAAGCAGCAGATGTTCTGGGTGCAGTTGGAATTGGGCCATGCCCTGTCATGGGATTGTCACCCGCTGGGGGATTGCGGAATGCTTGCTAAGAGGTTTTGTAACAGGTGAGTGAGGTCACAGCATTACCTGGCACTTCTATACCTCAGGTGTAAAAAGCTGTGACATGCAGCAGAGGGATTTAATTGCTGAAGAAAGCAAGATGTTTCATTTCACTGCGTGCGAGTAGCTCCCTTTAAGGTTATAAATATTAATTCTCTGTATGTTCTGCAAAGACAAGGTATGAGAGGAAGAAGCAGGAGATCTTGGATGCTTGTATTTGGCACATGAGGATGTTGCTCAGAGAACTATGAGTAGAATTGGCATCTGTCTCACTTGCTTCCTAACTGTCTCTCAAATTTTTTGCGTTTTGCCCATTTTGACCTTTAAGGAAGGCATCACATGTCCAAATACTTCCTTACTTCTGTTTCAATCAAATTTTTGGCAGCTTTCTAGGGGAGTGGTTGGTTTGGGTTTTTTTTTAATTGTGTGAGTTTCTGTCACCAGCTGCTATCAACTGTTTTCTGAAGCCTCACTTGTGTAGTTTTAGCTTTGGAGGAAATATGAAAGCAAAATTATCTCCATGGTCCTATTTACCCACAATATCTCCCTTGAAGCTCCCTACAAATGTTTTTCTACAGTGACCTTTCAGAGTACCTGCTTTCAAGAGAGGCTGCCAGCTTGGAAGTGGGGCTTAGGCATGTTTTCTTATATTTAGCTATATTAAAAATGGGGATCTTTGTTCCAGTCTTCTTTGTCTGGCAA